GTGACCCAAGCCCTTTATCAACAATGAACTTTTCACCAGGAGAGATACCTAGTCCCTGATGGCAGCCTTAACAGTAAACTTTTGCTCTCTATAGTTCTCCGGCCAGTCATCAAGGCCCAGTGCTTGTAAATTGACAGTATGCAATGAATCTGGCAAGGTCTGAAATGTCAGAGCTGGGTGGCTTGGGGATAGTATGGAGAAGGTGTTCAAACCTGGACTACATTTGGCATTCATTGCTATGGTAGGATGCAATAAGCTCAAATGGCCTAGTAGAGCATAATGTTTCAGCTGGAAAGGTAGGGATAACACGTTTGTCATATACACATGTAGTCTCAGTTGGCTGATGTTCTAAAGGAATAACTGTGGCATCAGAATAAACTGAGAATCTTTTGCTCTGGGTTAAGACCTAGCTCTTAGTTTACTCTGGGATCTTATAATTTTGCAAGACTAACACTGGAATTCATTCACAGTATCAGATTGTTCTAAAACCTCTTTAGCTATAGCTGCCTCTTCCTCCCTTTCTTTATGAAGGACTTCCAACTCTACTTTGACCTGTATTACCTGCACCCCTGCCTATACATCAGCGACTTGTACCATAATAGCTGTTTCTTTTTTATGCAGCAAACATGAGCAGCAGAAGATATTTTGCTAAGTGTGGAATACTGCGCAGAATGATCTTAAAGCTCTTAGCATGTTTGGTAGGCATAGTTTATGTATTGATGTTATGTACCGGTATACCCTTTTAAGGTCAGTAAATTCATTAACATCTTACAGAGATGCTTCTGCATTAACACTTGAAATACAAGAGTATTTTTCTAATAACAGTTTGAGTCATTCTAGTTTGGAAAGTAGGATAATTCGTTGCTTTGCATCATTAGACATTTCATTAGCAGCAGTTATGCACTGCACAGTCTTCTAGAACTTACTTTATTGTTTAATAATCCCTTTAAGCTTTAAAATAAAGGGCTCAACTGTGCTTGGGTCATGACAGAGGGGTGATGACTCCTTGGAGGTGCTGCTTCAAGGCAATGAAAGGTCTGGCTGGCAATAAGATGTAGGCAAGTTTGAGAGCATGGAACTCTGTAATCCTTGAACATGATATCCTAAACCCAGACATCTGTGTTTGGACCAGACAGCTCCAGCAAAGGCTGACAGATATTCCCTTGTTTGATAGGTGGGGGATGCCTCTTCGTTGACAGGAGGGATTGCTCCCAGACTTGGTGTGCTTAAAGGAAAAGTAGGGCCAAAGCTCTTTTGGCCCTATTTCTTCAGTATGTCACAGGAGTGCATTTAGTTCTCACTCTTGTTAGCCAAATTCAGCCAACAGTAGGATAAAGCTCACTGCCAATTGACATTGCTCAGCCAGTCCAGATTCTGGAGGGATCTCAGTTTTAATGTTGGGATCCACCCACATTCCTGACCAGCCACTATCTGCTCACTGTGGACCAAGAACTGAGCGAGCAGCAGTCTTTGATCGCCGAGTTCTCCGTCTTAAAGGCAGCAGGGGCAACTGCTGCATCCAGCTGGGTACAGTGCCTAGGAAACGTATTCATACCCTTTGAAATTTTCCACATTGTCATGTTACAACCAAAAATGTAAATTTATTTTATTGGGATTTTATGTGATAGACCAACACAAAGTGGCACATAATTGTGAAGTGGAAGGAAAATTAGTGGTTTTCAAATTTTTTTTACAAATATCTGAAAAGTGTGGCATGCGTTTGTATTCAGCCGCCCTTGAGTTAATACTTTGTAGACCCACCTTTCGCTGCAATTACAGCTGCAAGTCTTTTTGGGGAGGTCTCTACCAGCTTTGCACATCTAGGAGAGTGACTTTTTTCCCATTCTTCTTTGGAAACTAGCTCAAGCTTTGTCAGATTGGATGGAGATTGTCTGTGAACAGCAATTTTCAAGTATTGCCCAAGATTCTCACTTGGATTTAGGTCTGGACTTTGACTGGGCCATTTTAACACATGAATATGCTTTGATCTAAACCAGGGGTGGACAACTGTGGACCTCCAGCTGTTGAAGAACTACAAGTCCCATGAGGCATTGAAAAAGTGAAAGTTACAAGCATGACTCCTAAAGGCAGAGGCATGATGGGACTTGTAGTTCATCAACAGCAGGAGGGGCACAGTTGCCCACCCTGATCTAAACCATTCCATTGTAGCTCTGGCTGTATGTTTTGGGTTGCTGTCCTGCTGGAAGGTGAACCTCTGCCCCAGTCTCAAGTCTTGTGCAGACTCTAACAGGTTTTCTTCTAAGATTGCTACATCCATCTTCCCATCAACTCTGACCAATTTCCTTGTCTATACTGACGAAAAGTATTCCCAAACAGGATGCTGCCACCATGTTTCACGGTGGGGATGATATGTTCAGGGTGATGTGCAGTGTTAGTTTTCCGCCACACATAGCATTTTGCTTTTAGGCCAAAAAGCTCAATGTTGCTCTCATCTGACCAGAGCACCTTCTTCCACATGACTGCTGTGTCCTCCACATGGCTTCTCGTAAACTACAACCGGGACTTTTTATGGCTTTCTTTCAACAATGACTTTCTTCTTGCCACTCTTCCATGAAGGCTAGATTTGTAAAGTGCACGACTAATAGTTGCCCTGTGGACAGATTCTCACACCTGAGGTGTGGATCTCTGGCCTTTTAAATGGCTAGGTCTATCCCTGCTTGATCAGGTTCATCCCCTCAGCAGAAATATAACTAGACAAGTAAACATTGCCTACAGCAGCTGGAGTTGTATATGCAAACCTGCCACCACTGTAAGCCTTAAGTCAGCAGCAGTAAAGGTTACTTTACATCTCCATACACACAGGGCGTTATAATAACATTGGGAACATTAGCTGTATAAAGTCACATTAAAAACATGAGGTTTTTCAGTGTTTAGGAGCACTTTGCCACGTGGGCTTTTTTTATTTTAACCAAAATGTAAAAATTTATTTTTTGCTCAAAAAAACCATCCAAAACCGCAGATTTGCCACTTTTTTAGCATTAGGGCGTTTTTACAGCTTAAAAAAAAAAAAAAAACCCTCTAGAAACCCACTATTTCTTGGGTGTTTTTCCTGCCAAACACTGCTGATTACAGTCTGTGTGAATGGATTACATACTAGGGCATTTACTTGCTGTAGAAGAAAAAAAAAAAACCCGCCAAAAACAGCAGCTGTAAAAACATCCACTGTACATGAAGGTAGCTCTTTCACTGGCAGAGCCATTTTTGGACACAGGCTTATAAAATCATTTTACACCTGAAGATTAGTTAAAACCCCTAAACAATTTGTGAATGTAGAGACCCTGGAATACATACACACACACACACACACACACACACACACGGTTACTTTTTTTTTTTCCTTTTCATTCACTGGCCTGAAAAATGTGTGCAGCAACTAAAGTCAAGTCTGTGACCAGATCTGCATGTATACTTGTCTTGCTTGGAGTGCTTACCTCTTGTCCACTGTATTTGGGGAAAACCCCTGAAAAAAAACAAGAATTAGAAAATGGGAGACAAACAAGCACACTTCCAACCAAATCACAGTGCTTGATGCACAAGTGCAATTGTGTGGCACAGGGGAAGGGTTCCAGCACTATAAAAACAGTCACTTATAAAAGGTAACATGCAACATTATGTTGCTTTTCATCAGTATGCAATTTAAAAGAAACCTATCATAATTAGAGAGAGACAATGAAGCATAAACAGATTCATGAAAAGGACTCAAAATTAAAAAATTGGAGCCACTGTATCAGCATGACAGACAACTAGCATTGTCAGGGGCGGAAAGCAAGGACAGAAACTATTCTTCCAGTAGAAGTCATCTTTAAAATGTTCTATATAAATAGACGTTTATCTAGGGGCATTTATTTTACTAATACATGTTCTGTTCTTTTGTGCCAAGAAGATTAATAGGAGGTAACAGCCCATATAAAAACAACTTCTAAATGAAAAATAGAGGCCTTAATTAGATTGCAAAATATGTGGCATCATGGCCTGTCAACATGAGGATATACACACTTTCCATAGGAAGCAAAGCTTACCAGACCTCCAGACTTACTACATCTAATGAGGGGTCAAGTTTGGCCCAAAGCAGGCGCAGACCTTCCAAGTGCTTTCACAAAAGAAACCATACATGTATGCAGCCTGAATAATAAATCTGTACTTGTTTGTAGGAAAAAAAAAAAAAAAAAAAAAAAAAAAAAAAAAAAAAAGACTAAAAAGGAACATCAAAACCAAAATAACATCCCATTTTCAGTTTATTTTAAACCAAAATTGGAGGCACAAAGAACAAAGAAGCACACACACAAAATGCATACGAATAAATTAACTCCAACCGAATTTCCGTGTGCAATATAGTTAAAACGGAATGGAAAAGAAGAATACTAAGCAGCCTGCATGTGCTCATGTTCAATAGAAAGCAGGAATCCATAATTATCCATCGGCTGAGCTAGATACCTATTACTGAATTTGCAAATTAGAAACCTAAGAATTTAAATTCTTTGCATTAGTCTGGCAAAGCTCAGGAGACACAACATTGGCTATTCCATGCTTCACTTATTGCATTTCAACTTCTGTGATATTTACAAAACCTGGTGTTGGAAGCTACAGCTGCCCTAGTATAAGATGACATGGTCCTGAAACTTAATCATTACATAATGGGGTATACCCAGCTGAAAGTTTATCAAGGGAGTGGAAAGTCAAGGTTTAACATTATGACAAGCTGTGGCACAATTCACCGTTTGTGTACAATAGTTGAAGAATTATAGACAGCTAATCACAATATGCATAGTTACAACAGTCCCTGGATTGACCTGTCAGTAAAGAAAAGTGGAACCAGCAATTTGTCTTCTACTGTTAAACAAGAAAGAATAAATTAAGGACCATATCATGAGTGACAACTAGAAAATGCTTAACTGACTTTGTAGAGAGTGGAGATGTATATTGTGTTTCCATAGGAAAGAGTCTACTACTAGATCATCCTATGAAGAGAACTGCATGCCTTAGAAGCCAGTGGGCGTTAGAATGTTCATGTCACGTGGTTTAAGGTTGTGGCCTCGGGAAATTTTCTTCTCTGCAGTAACTAATGGTGGCATTTCAATTTTTGGTGGTTTCAATGCAACAGGGTCATCAGCTATTCTGTTAGCTTGGGCTCGCATCAGTTTGGAGAGGGATCATTGGAGTTGGTTTTTGAGCACCTTTGTAAGACTGGACTGTAAAGCCACCTGCAGAGAAAAAAAAAAAAAAATAATCACACACATACATGTTAATGCATCTAGTAGTCCTGTTCTGAAAACATGCTATACACAATATAAAAGCAAAAAGATCCTATTGCATCAGAAGGCAGACAGCCTGCACAAACAAGTAGTCTGCATTGGGCAAACTCGTAATTAGCTCCCTATGGAGACAACAGCTCTGCCAGCTTCATTGAAAAACGATTGCATTCAGCCAGAAAAATCTATACCTGCAGATTGTTCCCTTGGGCAGACTTGGCCAGGGATCATTAGGGAAGGCTTACAGACATTCAATCTGATTTCACACTAACAAAATCGGGAAAGCATATTATCTGTAGGTGTCTTAATTTTTTTTTTATATCCCACATTTTCCTCTTAAACACTCACCTATGTGTGTGCAGCTGTCCCCCACTGGCTTTAAGATTAAAATTTGAGCAATTGCATGATCGTTCTCGGTCTTCACTGAGCAGAGAGCGATGAAAGTCAGTCACCAACTCTCTGCTCAGATCTCTGGCACCCATTGGAGCACCAGGCTGCATAGGGGACAGGAATGCCTGGCTCAGGCTCTCAGTGGCATATTAGGAGGCTGAGCCAGCCATTTGTCAGGCATTTGGGTGGACCCTGACCTTAAAGTCAGCACCGATCCAAAGTCTGGACCGGCTCTGTGACGTCAATAAACAGTGGGCTTTAGATGTCCAAGTAACACATGTAAAAAGGCCAAGAAGGAGTTTTACTTTTTTGTAATTTTTATATTGTACAGTACAGGCCACAAGGTTGAAATTCATAGACCCTAGGTTATAGGCTGGGACCTTCATATGAAGGGAGGTCATCCCCCAGGACAGCCCCTTTTAATACTACCCTGCAAATTTTGTTTTCTATTTTTTTTTTGCAAGCCTTACAGAATAGCACAGACGCAGATGGCAGAGTGGCCTGTGTCCCCTGCTGTATTTAAAGATATAAAAATTTAAGGAGGAAGTTAAAAATACTTTTAATACTTTTAAAGTTAAAAATACTTTTAATACTTTTATCTTAGTACAGGGCAAAGGGTTGATCTTCACAGACCCTGGGTCGTCCTCAAAAAGAAATAAATGAGAAGGGGGTGAAACATGTTCCCAATGGTAGCGACAAAGCAAAAGCAGAACGTGTGCACAACAAGGAGAGTCAACAGAAAATGTGCAAAAAAGGTAAACGCTGGTGTGCAAGCTGAGGGTGAATGTTATGCCTGAAAGCTGCATCTGCACAGGATTGGATATCCATGTGGCAGAACTTGGAAAAGGTATGACCTAAAGACCAATCAGGTGGCAGCGTTAAAAGCTGGGCAACAAAGGCTTAAAAGATAAGTTCACCTTTGGTAACATACTGCATGTTGCATGCATTTTTGGGGTGAAACATGTTCCCAAAAACTGCTGTAGCCCACAAAAATTCCTCCCCCCCCTGACAATAAATGACAAATGCTGGTTTTGCTGCATGTACCAAATTGCAATATTATGCCACCACTTTATTGCAGAGGACATCTTCGATCTTGCATCACTGCACATTATGAACTTCCATACTTTTGTAATTGGGCAGATGAGGATGTGCCAGCACATTACAGGCTGGCCATGGTGTGGAACTACTGGTTACTTACAGGCAAAAGGCACACAGTAAAGCAAGGTTAGGACAAGATGGATAGGGACTGGCTACTACAGGTACTGCATCAGACACGTTGCTTTTTGCACTGCTGAATTGTGGAGAGGCAAACATTTTTGATGTGGTAGTTCAGTTAGCCATAGAGAACATACAGTACTTTCTAAAAGCAGTTGAAAAGCGTAATCATACTATTTTGCTACAAATCGAAGAAAATACTAGGAAAAGGAGGGGAATTGAAGAATGGACGAACCTGTGGCTTTCACCTTGCACAGAGGAATTGGCATTTGAATTTCTTACCTGGATCTGTGGTTGACTTTTGTACTGCACGAGAGCAAACATGCTCCATTTGTCTGTGTCTGTACCCTGAAGCTCACCAGATGGGAGGGAGGTAGTGGATCCCTGACTAAACCACGATCTGTAGACAAACAGGTCAAATAACTTGTGAAGAATGCATGTTAAAACACCGACATTTAATACTGATACTTCCATACCAGCAGGAACAAAGATTAAAGAATGAATGCTTATTTGGTACCGATACTTTCTCAGTAGCAGAAACCGAGATTTCAAGTGACCCTATTTATCAGGCATTTAAGTTTAGCCACTTAAATTGTTACTAAACCCAGGACCCTGCATTTACTATTTTCAGTATTCCACAGTACAGAACATGGAAATGCAATTCATTTAGTAAATATAAACTGCTAAATACTGTCGTTAGCATTATATAGCAGTCTTGTGACTTCTATCAGTGTCCGGTCAAGCACTTATGTAGAGGGAGTTTTCAGTCTCCTCTGACTGCCCTATGAGGCTGCATGACCCCAGTCTGAACACACACACACCTCTCTGTACTATGGCAAATTGATTTTAAAACCGTAAAAGAATGGGAGGATCAGAGAAGACAGTATCAAACAGCCTTTTTACACAATGCAGAGGATTAGCCCCTTTAGGTTCCACAGTGAGTATAACAAGCATGCTTTACTGTGTATAAAGACTGATTTTACTGTTGTGAGTCTATTAACACATTAAGCTCTGGAAGTTTTTACCCCTTTTCATGACCAGGGCATTTTTTGCTATTCGGTACTGTGCTACTTTATCTGGCAATTGCACAGTCATGCAACTTTTTGACTCAGTCATGAAATTTCACACAAAATACAGCTTTCATTTGGTGGTATTTGATTCCCACTGGGCTTTATTTTGTATTATATAGAAAAAAAAAAAAAAAAAATCACTGAGCATTTTGCAAAAAAAAAAAAAAAAAAAAATGATCCTAATTTTTACCTTTTTTTAAATGTATTTTGATACGTCTTTGGTAAATAAAAAAAATTCCAATAAGAGCAGTTATTGAGTCTACAAATTATAGTATAAACTAATATATATAAAATTTGGGTTTTTTTTATACTAGTGCAACGGACAATCTAGCACCGACACTAGGTAGGACATCACCAGTGACACGAATACTGATCATTTATAATACTATACAATGTACTAATCACACTAGCTAGGAAGGAGTTAACATCTAAAAGCAATCAGTGTGTAATGTGTGCTGCTTTTACTAAGATGTACTGTTTTAAAGCAAGGAGAAAAAAAAAAAAAAAAAAAAAACCACCACATAGCCACTTCTCTGCATTAGAAAGCACAGGGGCTCTGTATGGTTTTTCACTAAGCCAATCAGCAGATCCAGGTCATAAATCACTGGCCATGTACAGTTGTTTTTCCCCTTAGTTCAACCACCAGGTGAACACACACACAAACACACAGGTTGCAGGGATGTTTCCCACTGTGCTATTGTACTTGGGGACTCCTTCCTCCCCATCCCACCAACACACAGATCAACACTGCAGTGACTGATTGAATGCTGGTTCCCCAGGACTGTTACACCAGCTTCTGTTGAACAGAGGGGAACACATACATTGAATTTTGAGGTTTGCACACACGGATTAAGGCTAGCCATAAATTGATGTATGTTGCATTCAGCCAGCCAAAATAATGCTAAAATTGAAGTGATAAAATATCACAAAAAATATTTAATGCATTAAAAAAAAAAAAAAAAAAAAAAAAAAAAAAACACTTTAGTGAAATGACTACTTGAGATAAAATACTGCATGAACTAGTTTAACTAAAAAATTCATGCAATATTTATCTTTGTGAATTGACCCCACTGCCAGTCTCTTCTGCAAAACAGAGCCTCCATGCTCACAGTGAAAAACAGGTGAACTTTAGTTCCCTTTCAAAGCATCATACCACTTCTAGAACACCATTACTACCACAGTATGTACTGTATATGAGCATCACTACTAGCATGGCACTTGTCATTTCGCTAAACAAAATTCTATCCTAATGCTGCCGGGGAGCGATGTGAGCATGTATAGAAGTGGAGGAAGGGAAGCCGAGGTGGTGTGCATAGCAACTAACCTGCTTCAAGCTGTCGATGGGGTTACATAAAGTAACACCTACACCTTTTCTCATTTTAAAGCTTGTTTTATTTTTTTTTTTTTTTTAAAGATGTATAAAAAGACTAAATTTGTCAAGTGAGGTTTGCGTTACCTGCGCATTTGCTTTGGTGAAGAGCTTGGAGTGCTGCAAGGTGTGGACTGAGCAGATGAACTTTGCCTCTCTTCACTTGATTCTCCAGTTTGCATCTTTAGCTTCTGTCAGGGTGAAAGAAAATCTACCAATTACATCAAAGATTCAGACTACACAATAAGTCCGCATGTGAACTAATGTTGAATTGGAGGCCAGTTGACACATTATAAAACGATTCCTGTGTGAAAATGTTTTGGAATCTCTTAAACAGCATCTTATAAATAGCAAAAAGGCAACCTGAGACCTGAGTCAGCAATGCTATTAAATAGAAAACAGCAGACATGTGAAGGGCATGAAGTAAAATGTTACCAGCTCAGGCAAGCATTTTATGCAATATTTTAAATATATGGCCAATCCTAAATTTATACACAGCCCTTTTTTTTTTAATTTTATTAAGTATATAAAGCCTTTTTTTTTACCAATCCACAAAGAACCTGAAAACCCTGTCTCTACAACAGCTGGACAATAGTCCCACATTGTTATACACTGCCAAAGCACAACATATCTATTCTTACAAAAAAATAAATAAATAAAAAAAAGGGCGCATTTTGAGCATCGTATCAAACAGACAAGGTTAAATACTATACCATACTAAGACTATGGCAATGAATGGTGCAGCACAAAATAGGCACCATTTATACTGATCTGTCACTACCCAAATCATGGAGGTAAAAGGTTTATATAACCATAATTAAAAAGCTCATACAAGTTGTTTCTGTAAAGGCGAAGCAAAGCAGCTTCACCCTGGCAAAAATCCTCGACCACACTGAAATGTTGGCGACAGTGGTTTATTAAAGCTGCACAAGAATGGGGGCCATGCAGCCTGAGGGATACATATTCCTCCAAACTATTTATGTAGTAGTATTGTAGACTAAACCACAATTCACATTCACAGAAAAAAAAAAAAAAAAAAAAAAAAAAAAACCAACAACAATCCAATGAGTGAACAAGGGTTGAATAAAATGACAGCTAGCCTAGCTTATGAATCTAAGCAATGACGCAACTAGGCTAAAGCCACCTGTACATGGATCGGCCACATTTTGATCTATGTATGGACAAGCTGGTTCTACCTCTCTACAACCACCCTGTGATTTTAACCCGATCAGTGCCACAAACTAAAGTCTGCAGCATTGATCCGGAAATCGGTCTGCTGTCACAATACAATAACTTAGCAGACGAAATTCCCCCATCCACACATTCAAGGGGGAAATCAGGTCTGCTGATTGAAAGAAGGATGATTAGTGCATGGGCTGCATGAGTGCACTACATAAAAATACAAAAAAAACACACAATCTGGGTGGCCAACACTCAGCCCTGCTTTTTTCTACAAATTGTAATAAAGTAGACAATACATGAACAAAATCAGCATTAGGTAATTACATGTACCTCCTCTGTAATGTCTTTCAAGAACATTACACAAAAAACTTTACATAAACTGCTATAGGCTACAACTGCACAAAGCAACCCAATTACTGTGTATTAGAATTCCTAGAAACAGTTACAATGGAAATAAATTGGCAAATGTTTGCAAACATTCCAATATCCAGACTAACAATAGTAGCCTACTATGCTTTGTGTATTGCCACACTAAACTATGAAAAATATTTAAAGTCCACTCTCTTAAAAAAAACTTTACATTTTCCAGGAAAACTAAACCATACATACTGCATAGACAAAGTATCCTTTTTATGACATGCAACTATCCATCCTAAACCTCACCAGACACCCAATGCATTGAAAGCCAGCCTCAAACTGAAAATGAAAAGTAGATTTACTGAGTATTAGCAATCTCCCACCATTAAAAAAGTAGCTATATGAATATACAGCAAGAGCAAGGAGCAATCCTTAATAAATGCTTGGAAAAAAAAAAAAACCCACACATCCTCCATAAAAAAAAAAAAAAAAAAATGGATGTACCAAAATAAAAATGATTTTTCAATTCATCACACTGGCATATCAGCACAAGATCTATGTGCATGCTAGCCAAAAGAAAATCCACAAATCACCATAAGCTCAGCTAAAAATGTGAGGTTAACCATGCATTGCCCTTCTCATGGCTAGCATGGATATTACATCCATTGGAACTAGCCTGGGAGCCCCTGCTAACGTTTTCCCGTCCAGCACATCTATATCTATATATCTATCTCATTTACTTGGGCTAATAGTCTTCAATGATACAGTACCTGCACGATGGCACCCACTGGTGCCTAAAATGAAAAGCAGGCCATCATCCACAGATTTAGTTTGTCATCTGTCAAAATATACACTTTTCTATGCCATGAACGTCTGTTTATGCCCAGAGAATAGCACATTTCTGAATGCAGCAATATGCATTAGGCTTAAAGTCTTAAGACACATATGTGCCCAAAATGTATCATCCACAATTAGCATCCAAAGAATAAAATTCCTCAAAGACCAAATATATATTGCCATATTAGTCCAAATGATGAAGATGGTGAAAAAAAAAAAAAAAAAGTACAAACCATGAATAGGTGTACTATTAGACATATAAAAATGTGCTCACTTTTCTGAAAGATCCCACACATTCATGCAAGTACAGTACATTAAAAGGCAGAATACATTTGAAGAGAAGATGGAGGGGGAAAAAAAAAAACGGCAAGCAAAAGCAAAGCCCACATTTATCTCACAGCAGCACTACAGGTAAATACTAGAGGGCAGGGTATACAATCCAGGCAGGAGCATGGAAGGTAGTACAAGGGACAGAGGGCAAGGCACAAATCTTACATGCAGAGCCTCCGCCACGCGATGGTATTTGGACTCTTCAGTAGTGAGACCCTTGTGTGGAGTATAGCCAGCATCCCTGAGACCAGCCTGCTGTTCGAAGCGTTGAATGCTCTCTTGTGTATGTTCTGAAATGGAAGACATTTGCACACACAGCTTTCAAGCGGGTGCCATAGCTAGACTGACCGGAGCCATACTCCTCCATATTCACCCAGTCATTGCAAATAAACAATACAGGCAGACATAGTGGGCACAATGGAAATTAACACTGGAATGCTGATTACACAGGTATTGCTAATATGTTAATTCACATCTCTGGTTTAGGTTTGCTTTATCAACACTGCTGCATGTTAAAAAGAGAAAAAAAAAAAAAAAAACCTGTTGCAGAGCATTTACAGATTCATATGCAGACAAGACTTTTTTCCCCATTCATTTCACCTAGACCATTTCTTTCACTGGTGATGTATGCTACTCAGTAACAGGGCATGGAGCTGACCAAGGACATCACCTTCATTCAGGTGAGTTTGTCTGGTGTTGGACGAGTCTCATGCTTATAAATGCTGTGACATAACACAAAAACAGCAAACAGGAGTCTACAGGTTTATAATCAAGTAAACCATTACGTGTGATATAAAAATATTGTTTCCCCCTATTCATAGAATAGAAAATACCTGGAGCTCCAACATCTCACATTCATTAAGGACACTGGAAACACTCAGTAGGTGTGAGGGCTACCTTGTAAATTGGAGTTATTTTATGTGGTAATCTTCAGGCAAAAGTGCTTTTCAAGGATTGGGTCTTACAAGAAAAAAAAAAAAAAAAAAAAAAAAAAAAAAAAAAAAAAAAAGGTGTTTAAATAAATATACTTCAATCTTTTCCCTAAAGAGTGTGTCAAGCCAAATATTTTATTTTGGCTAGCATGGGGGGAAAAAAAAAAAAAAAAAAAAAAAAAATGGGATCTACAAATCAGGATTTTTACTACTATTTGGGGCTCAGTTAGATTTTCCCTATGTTCCTGTCCTGGGGTTTTACCAGACAAAACAAGAGGCATTTGCAACACTACTAAAGTTTTTTTTTTTCGTGTTACCACAAGTTCCCCTCACTTCCTGTGTGATAAAAATGTTGTCAGCAGGACAAAAAGGAAAGTTAAATCACTTTCACAGAGCCCCAATCCCTGGTCACACTGGGTGCGACTCGGCATGCAATTTGCATGCCATAAGACTTGCAAATCTCATGAAAAGTCACACCCTATTGTCCGCAATTACAGCAGTCATATCCATGCGGTTCTGACAGCACCGATTTCTAAAGTTATGCATGCACTACTTTTGGTGCTATTTTGCATGGACACCTGTGTCAGATGTCTTGCAAATCACACCTCAAATTGACATGTCATCCAACTTTGAAATCATGTGACTTCCCTGTAAGTCGCATGATTTCAAATTTGGGATTGGTGTGTGGGGGGGGGAGAGCAATTAAAAAAAACCTGACAAGTTTTATCCCTTTATTTTTCTGAAAACCAAAAAGATAAAAAAAAACGCCTTTTATGTGCCCAGGCAGTAAGTCAGTACTGAGGTGTCCATATGGGGAATAAGTGCAGCTACCATTTCTGTTGCATTCTGTTAAAGGATAAGTTAACCTTTAGTGGCATATTACATCCATATTTAGCGTGTAACATTTTACTATGCAGCACCTTCCCCCCACTCCACACAGCAGGGATCCTCTTTCCCACAGACAGACCATGTCACATTTTAAAATAGAGACCTGTGAATAAATGAACTACAGATTCCCATCTGCCACAGTGGCAGACAGTTTGTATTCCTCAATTGTCTAGGAGGGTGTTGTTGACACTTTCACCAGTTTTCTAACAGAAAGCCCATACAGAAGGTATGGGTAAGAAAGCTGGAGGGAGAATGTGCAGAAGCCCGAAACGCACTCACAATCTGATATAGAGGTGAAATGCTCTATGCACGTTAGCATTTTTTTTTTTCCCCAGAAAGATGACCTTACCCTTTAAATGTATTTTTATACATAACTAAGCAACATGATTATTTTGATAATCACATTTTGTAGTCTATAAATTGCTTTATTCTGTTTAAAAATAAATGCCTTTACTGTTTCCTACAAGTCCATTAATTTTCACTGTTAGAAGTTTACAAAACTAATAAAATTTGCCATTATAGTAGTGGTGTATAAAATGTGTGGTTTAGCCAACTAAAATACTTAAAAGCACTTGATATCCCAGCATGTAGGAAAAGAATGTCTGGATTCCAAACACAATTACTTTCAAAACTTCTGCTTCAGAGCGGTGCTGTATCTGGAGAGAATTTAGGTCTGTTTACTTGCTAAAAAAAAAAAAAATGATCTATCTATATATAGATATACATACATCACACTTTAAGCTGGCCATACATTAATCAGTTTGTTCAGCAAAAGAAGGAGGCGGCAGACACCCTCCCCCAGTGTCTTTGCATTCACAGATAAACCTGCATGCAGTGCTGATCAACTAGAAAATGTTCCAACAGGGCAGGGCAGAATAGATCAAGTGGATCAACACCCTGCTGAACCAGGCAAAATTCGATCTATGTATGGACAGCTTTTAGGGGCAAAAATATTAAGTTATAATTAAACCCAAAAATAAAAAAAAAAAAGATATACATACATACACACTAGATAGAGAAAATGTATATTTATATACATCTCTATTTTAGTAGCACTAATAGTAGTATAATAGAATGCAGGCGCTCTCACCACCAATCCACTGATGTCGAGTGCACGCAGTTAGGGAACTTTACCCTTCTCTCCAAAGTGTAGAAAAAAGAAAAAAACAAAAAAGTTTGCCTTGTGATTTTGTGACCCACAGGATGTGATGTCACAGGAAATGCTTCAGTGCAGTTTAACTAGTGCTAATGCTAAAATGCGCATCAACACAAGTCAACACGCACTAGCACATGACTAAAATGCATGGAAATCTACATGAATTTTAGTGCAAACCAGTGTGAATTCACCCTTATTAAATTTCTTGCAAAATCCACAAAATTCAAGTCACGATTTATATATAGCAGTTTCTCAAGTAAAGCATTCAGAGTGAAACAAACATTCACACATTTAAATGGCAATTACATCCAGTAACATGTAACACCTGTGCATAAATCTTTCTACCAATTGGTATGAGAGGACAGCTCACACTGAGCAACATGAATGAAATTAATACAAAATGTTTACTTAATAATACATTGGAAACATTGCATCTCATTGCCTCCACCTAATCTATCCACACTTGTATAACACTTGTATAACTGCTATCCATTTAACTTCCCTGCATTTCAACTCAAACTAGGCAGGCCAGATGAATTATCTGTAAAACCAGCAGATAGGGGGTTCTGTTGTCATTAGGAATACAAGTGGTTGTATGAATGAGATAAGCACACAGATTGCAGATGACCAGGTATATAGAAAATAGACTTCTAAAATCCCATCCTTGATGTAGATAAAGAAAAAATAGGGGGGGGGGGCGGTTTACTGCTGCATCCAGGGAGGGCATAATTGATAAAAGATACTGTGCCTTTTTGGACTCATGCACACAGGACGTTTTAAAAATTCTCCTTTTGCCAGCAGCCTATTGGCAGAATAAAATGTCTGACACTTGTCAAAGTGTCCAGTGCTTTTACAAGCGTCAAGCACTTGGGTGCTAATTCATTTCATTGGCCAGATTAATAATGAACGCTGAAGTGCTAAAAACGCACCCAACGTTAACACGAGTCAAGATTTTTTTTTTTGCCAAAATGCTACTGCCCCTGGATGCCCTGGCTCTGGGTTTTTTTTCCCTGCTGGTAAACACTACTGCTACTAAACGTCTATGTGTGCACGGGCACCTAGGATAACAGAGGGTTGTTGGAAAGCAAAAATGCCTGGTGCCCCTAAAAATGGCTGCAAAAACACCCTGTGCGCATGAGGCCTTCTGACTGAGAAATTCCCTGTTACAACTGTATTATACAACCCCTGGCAAAAAGTATGGAATCACCTCGGAAAATGTTTAATTGTGGGTAAAACAAAAAACAAAAACTAATCAATTGCAACTATTTTTTGCAGATCAAAAAAGCATATGGAATCACTCAATTCTGAGGACAATATTATGGAATCACCATGTACTTTGCAGTTCTAAAACAAACATCTGCATCAGATTAAATCTGCTAAATTAGCCTGCAGAGAAAAAAAAAAAAAAAAAAAAAAAAAAAAGTGCTTGCACACCTTGGTGAGCTGTTACACCAAGCTGATTGACATGAATCATGGCTCCAACAAGAGAGGTGCCAGTTGAAACAAAAGGACAGGATTATAAAACTTCAAGGTAAATAATCAGGGAATGTTGCAAAAGAGGTTGGCTGTTCCCAGTCAGTGGTGTCTAAAATCTGGACCAAGTACAAATCAAATGGGAAGGTTGTAAAAAGGGAAGTGTTCTGGTAGACCAAGGAAGACATCAAAGCGTCAAGATAGAAAACTTAAAGCAATATGCCTTGAAAACAGAAAATGCACAACAAAACAAATGAGGGACAAATGGGCAGAAACTGGAGTCAGTATCTGTGACCAAACTGTAAGACATCACCTAAAGGAAATGGTATTTACATACAGAAGAGCCAAAATGAAAAACCATCAGTAACACCTAAACAGAAAAAAAAAATAAAGCTTACAATGGGCTAAAGAAAAGCAATCATCAACTGTGGATGACTGGATGAAAGTGATATTCAGTGGTGATCACAAATCTGCATTGGGCAAGATGATGCTGCTGGAACTTTTGTTTGGTGCCCTTCCAATGAAATGTATAAAGATGATTGCCTGAAGAAAAACATGCAAATTTCCACAATCATTGATGCTGTGGGGTTGCATGTCAAGTAAAGGTACGGGGAAAGGACAGTCATTAAATCTTCAATAAATGCACAAGTTTATACTGAGATTTTGGACACTTTTCTTAATCCATCAATTGAAAGGATGTTTGGTGATGACATTTTTTGGTATGATAATGCATCTTGCAATAGGGCAAATGCAGTGAAAACCTTCCTTCAAGAAAGACATAGAATGTCAATGGCATGGCCTGCAAATAGTCCGAACCTCAATCCAAATTGAAAAATCGATGGCGGAAATTAAAGAGAATGGTCTATGACAAGGCTCCAACCTACAAAGCTGATCTGGCAACTGCAATAAGAGAAAGTTGGAGCCAGATTAATGAAGAATACTGTTTGTCAATGGTTGAATCCATGCTTCAGAGAATTCAAACTGTTATAAAAGCCAGAGGTGGTGCAACAAAAAGTACTAGTTGTGTACTGTAGTTTTGTTTTTCATGATTCCACAATATTCTCAGAATTGAATGACTCCATATTTTTCCTTTGCTTGATCTGCAAAAATTTTGCAACTGACTTTTTTTTTTCTTAGTGTTTCTTAAAACCAGAAGGTTGAAATGTTTAATGAAAATAGTTTTGATGCATGTCTGATTAGTTTGGTTTTTTTTTCTTTCTACACAATTAAACAATTGAATGATCATTTTCCAAGAGTGGCGATTCCATACTTTTTTCCAGGGGTTGCACACTTTACCTAAGGTTCACATTGATAGTGGCAGGGAGGGACTCCTTGTGCGCACCTCTTGCTATATTTGAATAAAATGATTTTCCCACTAGTAACCAAAAAATATGTCCTCTCTCAGGGACACCACAGAAGTTATATTGAAACTACATAAAATTGAGGTTACCAGATACATTCCTTTTGGTTACCTGGGATGTGGATAATCTCTATACATTGATTCAACACAGGGCAGGAATTGCTGCAACACAAAACAGTTGCTACAGAACAGTAAATATGTACTTTCCAGCCCAGATCAATTTTTTTTTCTGGTCTTTATTACAGATTGTGCTTGAAAATAAACGCTATTTCAAGAAGGTACGTTCTTGCAATTCAGGGGATAGGTTGTGTTTCCCACCCCACACAATGCACTTATGGGTACGGTTGAACAAAATTATGTTTACATTAATGATTTCAGAAACCTTTTGCGATTTGGTTTCGCTTTACTGATGCATATGCATTGCGGGGAGGAGACTTTGTCCCTCACTAGGCTTGAGTTACAACTTAATCATATTGTGAAAGGCTTAAAAGTTGATAATGACAGAATATTTTTAGATGTAAGGGCTTACAAAAGAGGATGGACATTTAAAGAGATTTATATGTTAAGCCCACAGACAGCAACCAGTTGTGGTTACATTCGAGTTGTCACCCTCAGCCCAAGCTCACACTGATGTGGTGCAGAATCCACATCGGATTTTGTGCGATTTCTGCACAGCATCATAAATAGCACCCAGTTCATATGAACCACTGCAGGTGTGTATTTTAAGTGAAAGACACCCCGAAATCAGTTCGTAAAACGCAGTGCGATGTGCAGATTCGGATCACATGGGTGTGAATACTCCTGCAACTTTATTCTGCTGCGCAAAAAAAAAAAAAAACAAAAAAAAAAAAAAAAAAACACCACGTATGGCTCAAATTGCACTGCACATAAAATCACCTGTGATTTCCTCTGTGAACCACATGTGATGTGCCTGACCACATTAGTGTGAACCCGAGCTTATACAGTGTTCAACTCTATCCCTAGGAGTCAGATGGCTAGAGTGGCCAAGATAGTGAGTGATCCTGCATCAAGAGAAAAGCAGAGATGTTAAATGGATAGCAGAACTGGACACCATAAACCCAAAGGGTTAAACATTGATTGTGATTTGTTCCCATTTCTGTGAATTTTTTTAAGTAATCTTCCCATGTGACTTTTTTTTTTTTACAGGTTGCACTGTGGATGGAGAATAAAGTGGAGACGCTGAGATGCAACGTTTCCATTGTATTTTAGTATAAATATTGTGTTCATTCATGTTGCTCAGTGTGAGCAGTCCTTTCATACAAATTGTTAGAAAGATTTGTGCACAGATGTTACATGTTACTGGATGCAATTAACATTTACCCCCCCCCCCCCCCCCCCCCCCCCCCCCCCCCCCCCCCCGATTTACATATATGCAGCTGTGCCGGTCACGTTTTGCAAGGGCATGAGAGTCCATTTGAATGGACTCCTGTGCCCTGTGACAAGCAGGGAAGAAGTCCCTGCACTTCTGAAGACTCAGCCTATACGGGAACCTCAGTTCCCAGCATGGTTGTGTTTTCCAGTGTGGGCGGCGTGCCATTAGAACTAATGGCACCTGCCCATGGGTCCGCATTCCAGCTGCACGGATTTTCATGTGGATCCGCCTTAAATGTATGAATGTCAGTAGTTTCACTCATGCATGCTTTACTTGAAAGAGCATGAATGTTTTATATAAAATCACATGACATACATACATGGGAGGGGAAGAAAAAAAAAAAACAAAAAAAAAAAAAAAAAAAAACCACACACTTTGTTACATGTTAGTAAACAGCAAACTCCATAAAATAAATCCCCATGTAATAAAGATGAACAATTGTAGCCAGTCATTAACAGGATTGAACAGGTGAAAAAGGGAGAAAAAAAAAATATATATATATATATATATATATATATATGATTGCAACCATATTATATACAAAATATATATATATATAATCTGCATATATATATATATATACATTTGTTTTATATTATATATGATTGCAACCCCTTATACAAAAGCTGGTAATCTGCAATATAGAACATTTGTTTTGGGGTTTAAACCCCAAGCATCAAAGGACTGCACACAGTGCACTTTTAAAAGTATTGGGGGAAAAAAAAAAAACCCCCACACAGCTTTGGCCATTCTTACGGGTCACAGGAGTGCACTTTTGCTCTACTGTGACCCAGACTCAGCCAACAGTGGGCTACATCCCCTGTCATCTGTCACACACTCTCAAGGTTCAGGAAGGATCCCAATTATATTGTCGGATCTGCCCAACTGACAGCTAGCTCTAGTTGAATCCAGCTATACCCTGCACTTCACCTGCCCAGTGCTGTGAGTACTGCAGGGGCAGAGCAGTGAACTGTGACTGATGCTACTGCTCTCCGCTCCCAGAAGAACCAAGTGATCAGCCATCACAGCTGCCGCAGATCAATGCTGCTGCATAAAAGAGAAGAGGGTTTTATATATATATATATATATATATATATATATATATATATATATATATATATATATATATATATATATATCCCCCAAACTTTTTTTTCCAGTTACTTGATATCTGTCCAGAGGTGTTCAGAAACCTGAGCAGACTATCCAGATGTGTACTTGTTACCACAAATAGCAGAAATATATTGGGGCATGCTGAAGTCATTGTCACTGGGTCAGGTGATAACTGTCAGCAGCAGCTCTAAGCTGGCTACAAGGTTCTCAAAGCAAAGCCTCCTATCTGTACTGCTTTAGCTATGTTTCACAGAATCAAATAGCATATAAAAAGTTACTACATATGTAGAAAGATGGGATGTCTTATGCAAGGTAACCGATGCCTGCACCCTGGGCAAATCATTGACATGTGATGCTTCACAGATTACATGCAAGTGGGCGCGATTAGATGCAAAAGGCCACTGCTTTCTGCCTACTCACAGCTAATCTTGGGAACCCCTGCTGTGTGTTCTCACATCTAAATTGCAGGCAGGGTGCATTCACAGGTGTGCACCATTAAGCAATCTAAGGAATAAGGTACAGCAACTCAAAAGTTGACTTTAAATTAGTAAAGAAGTTGACATCAAAGGAGGAGGCTAATGGAGTAAATATGCACAAAAGTAGCAGCTATTCAAAAAGCCTCAGCTAACAGCTCTGCAAACAAAGCTGAGCCAAACTGTCTACTCAGCACATCCCAGATAATGTTATCAGAATGAAAGGCAAAACATCTGCAACCAGGTTAAAATGCATTAAAAAAAGTAAACACAGAACATATGTCAAAACAAAAAATAATGCATAAATAGTGGAAAGACTTTTTTGTAGTTGCCCCAACTCTTATATATCTATATAGAAGAACTTCTGCTGACAAATCTAGGACCACGGAGAAGCAGCTGTATACTTGGTCTTATTCCTAGATTTAAAAAAACAAAAAAACAAAAAAAAAAAAAAAACCCACATGGGCCACCAGTGTTTGAACACTGGAAAAGTGCTGAATAGAGACAGCTAGAAGGAGTTACTGTGAGCAACACTGCCAGCTCTATTGAACACCGATTATCTAAAACTAGACCCTACCAATGACATTTGCCATTAAAAATATCAATTGACTTGTACATTACAAATTACTGGTCCAAATGAGGAAACATTAGACATCCTTACTTGTCAAAAGGGAGTTCATGATGACAGAAGTTGCTTTAGCCTTCACCACAGGTGCCTTTTCAACAGAAGAGGAATGGGGCAGGGCAGGTGGGGGCATACTGTTATCCCCATCCTCAACCTGCTCAGGACAGAAGAATGCACGGGAAGAGAGAGTGGGAATGACATTATGATGGGAAGGGAGGGGAAAATATAAAATAAATTAAATGTTAAGTACAAGGCTTCATATTCACTAGAAGAGAATCTGTAGGTGTATTTCCCCTTTTGCAGCCAAATGAGAAACTCCCCACTATAGGTTTATGTTCATTCATCTACAAATAATTAAAACATACGTATTTCTTACCTTTCTAGTGGTTTCTTTGGAGGAGGGGGTTTAGTCATAGGGCTCTACAGGCAGCTGCTACTGCTTAGGATAGATGGAAACATACAGATAAGGGACTTAACCCCACAAACACACTGTAGCTGCTGACGTTTAATAAAAACACACACCTCACCTGTCCCAGGGTCCAGCGATGTGCTCACCCATGCCATCCCTTCTCTGCCTCTTCACTTCCTGGCATCACAACCATGGGAACCAGGCTGCGCCAGCTTGTGGCTTCACAACCTGGTGACCACTGCGCATGCACGAGTTGTGCAGCGCACGCTCATTGGTCCGGCAGTCTACTGGGACATATGAAGGTTCCCAGAAGAGTGCGGGAGGAAGGAGGTGGCTGAACTTCTGGTTCACTTCGCCAGCGAACTGAGCCAGAAGTGGGAGCGGTTACCTGTCAGACAGGTATCCGCTCCCCCTTCCCCAAAAGGTGCCAAATATGGCAGTGGAACTCTGCTTTAAAGTGCATTAACCAACTGTACTATCCAAGCCTTGAAATCTTTAAGCCTTTAAAGGGCAGAAATTTATACATCTAGTTTACAAATGATAATGTAGATATGTCAGCACAGACCAGATTGTGTAAATTATGGTAAACTACCCAACACCCTCCTTAAGATTACACAGAAGAGGAAGACCGGTAGGATTAAGTAAAATAAAAATTGTTGCTTAAATTGGGTACACACTAAAAGTTTGTTTTTTTTCCCTCTCGTTCAACCCAGCAGACTGATCGGAAAAATAAATTGCTGTACTAAAAACACAAGTAAGGTTAGTGCAGGGCTCTCCGCCGCTGTGCCTTTAGGTTTGGACAGGGGAACTCCCTGCCCTGTCAGAAAACACTGCGCTGGCAGCCATTGGCAGTTGTATACAAGGACAGAAAGTTAGCCAGTTCCTGCTGAACCAACCAATTTTGGGCGATTTTCCATGTACACAAGTTTTAACCTTTAACTTTTGCTATGTGAATGAGAACAAGAAATATTAAGTAGGCAATACCCTAAATTGGCTGCAAAATTGGAAATACACTCTAAAAATTCCACCAACATAACCAAATGTATACATAAGCCAAAATTATCCGTTTTAGAAGACAGACCCACCACTAAATGAATCACTTTAATCACAGCTGGCTACAAAATTACCACAAATTCTGTGCGTTACAAGTCACAAACTAAAGCTCCTAAAAGCTGGCTCTATGCAGCATACCTTGGACAGCTTCTGGTATTTACGTTCTGGGATTACAGGTTTTCTCCATAAGGTGTTAGTACACATGTCCGATGGTGGTGGAGTCATCGGCGCTGTATCTTCCAGAGCATCATCATAGCTGAAAGCCCGACGGTGCATCCCGATGGGCAGGGACATTTTTCCTAGAAGCCCACTGGAGCCGTGCTCAATGGCTGAGGACAAAGAGTCCACTACTTACTACACAATTAAGAAATATTCTTGCGCACACTAAAACAGACAATAGGCTCCAAAAAAAAAAAAAAAAAAAAAAAAAAAAAAAAAAAAAAAAAAGGGCTACATACAAAATTGCTGAAAAATATGTCCTAGATCTTACAGCTAGTCACACAAGCCATAAGTGACAATACTACAGACAGTGCTAGTAGGGTGGTGACACCACCCCAAATCCAGTGGTCCAAGCAGATTTCTGCACTGCTGAGATCTCCCTATGTGGTGTATGTGCTTAAAAAGACCTATACACCCATACAAAGCATATGGAGGCTTCCAATGTACATAATTAGTATTAATGCTACAAAAAAAAAAAAAAAAAAAAAAAAAAAAAAAAAAAAAAACACTGTTACACAGTAACTCAAAAAGGAAAAGTAAATACCTAGGCACAGATCTGCGTAGTTTTATAGCACAAGGCAAACAAACAGCACAGCTAAAAAGTAATAGATTTACTTTTAATTACTGATGAGTCATGTGTCTGGTTGTCAGTTGTATTAAATGTTGGTCATACCTTTCCTGTTTCTAAGACTTCTGTTAAAGCATTAGATGTAGTTTATGGTCTATAAATGTAGACAATTTGTGTTTATCTGCAGGTGTCATAACCATTACTAAATGTAACAAAAGCTCAACTTACTAAATATTGAGAACTATTAACAAATCCCAAATATTTCAAAACGTTCCTCTACAGGATTGCCAGTGGCCATTCCCATCAGCCCACCATTACTACCAAAAGGCACACTCCAAATTGAACACAGAAGGTATTGAAGCCGTTTAATGTTAAAAAACACATTCTATTGCCGTTTATATAATAATGTTTCTCCTCTGAGCTTCCTCATACTGCCTCTACCCATCCCCCCAGCCATTTTGTGCAACTCCAGGTATGAGGGTGCCCTCTGTGCCTGAAAGGACTAATAGAGTACCGCTGGAGTGTTCACTATATGCACATGCCTGGTTAGAACTTTAATCTTTCATGTAGCCACTCCCTGCACTACACATACAGGCAAAGTGAGAGGGACACTGAACCCAAACCACTCCTCCCCTCTTCAACAATGGCAAATGACAGAAGCTCCAAAGTCAGCGTAGATTTGGTTCTCTGCCACGCTTGGTAACAGTTGCATATAAGGCCCCTTTCACATGAGCGGACCGATCAGGTCCGCCTGTCCGTTTTTCATGCTCCATTGCTCTGTATTGAGTGGCAGGTGTAAAGGCAAGTGTCCGTTTACATCCAATCATGTCCACAACAGACAGAATGGGTCCCTCAGGCTGATCGGATGACAGAGGGAAACGCACAGATGGTACGACACCCCATAGAGGACAGCGGGCAGATCCCCCACTGAGCAAGCGGATCCACTGACAGGTCCACCTCATGTGGGCCTTAGATTGTAGTTCTAAACATATTAAGGAAAATATATAAATAAAAATAAACAGATTTCAAAATAGATTTAAAAGCACAAATAACTCACAAGTATTCTTGTTAAAATGGCTTAATAGGAAAGGGTTAATTAGCTTAATTATTCCTCAGTAAAACTGGATTGGACCTTCACATGCTAGATTAGAACCTCCCTTCATTGAGGAGAGCCACATTTAAGAGTTCATTTACCAGGTACATCAGGTTGTCTTGATGCCATTATTGTGGACAATGATGCTGCCTTTTTTTCTATGACAGTCCAGAAAATATTTTCTGTTACCTGGTGAAAACAAACATCTGTTTATCACTCCAACAAACATTCATGAGAGATGTAAACAAGGCCCAATCAATCCCATCCAGTTGTAATCACATTTGCTATTTGTGTAATTAGTAAGTCAGCACTCTGCAACCAGCTATATGAGCACTGTGCATTTCAAATCACAATGAAAACCAGCTTACCAGGCCACACTGTTCCTTGGATTATGAGAAATGAGAGGAGCCACAATGGAACATAGTGCAAAGAAATCAGAAACCCTGAAAAGAGCCCTGGAGTGGTCCATGCAGAGTACCTGAAGATTAAGCAGAGAAAACAGTAATGAAAGTAATGTTCAGTCTAACTTGTTAGAAAAACTATGGTTACATTGTACGTACAGGAAAAAAACAAATGTATATGTTGTGCATGCAAACGCTAGGAAGCCTTGATGTCATACTAATCCAGCGACTAATACTAATGACCTCATACTAGCATTCAGATTTAGTGCACCAGCTTCATTTGCTGCATGCTACTTGTAGGTCATGGACCCAAACAAAACTAAAACCAGGAACAGCAAGGCAAGTGGCATTTTCAGAATGAGATCAGCACTTGGCAGCCCACACATTTTTCTCAGTACAGGTTTCCTTTAACATAATACAGGATTGGACAGGGAACCAGAATGCCTGCAACTTTCTATAAGTTTTTCACTACAGTCAATCTGGCTATGGACTGCTCTGGCTGCACCCCCAAATGCACAGTAAGGCCTCATTCAAATACTGTCACACTGCATCAGAGGCCAAGTTCACCTTTTAGGGCCAGTTCACACTACATGCGTTTCAATAGCTTTTTTTCTCCATCCAAAAATACAGAAAGTAAGTTATCTCCTAGATTGTAAGCTCCAAGGAGCAGGGCCCTCCTATCCCTTGTGTATTGAACTGTATTGTCTCCCGTTATATTGTAAAGTGCTGAGCAAACTGTTGGCGCTATATAAATCCTGTATAATAATAATAAGGTTGGTAGTGTCATAGTTCACATCAGTGCCTGCAGTTCCATGCTGCATTCTTTTTCTGAATAGAACTGTACCGGAATGCGGTAAACTGCACCAAAAATGCACGTCCCTATTTAAACTAAATAAAAAGAGGCGGAAAAATGAACTGGAATGCATCAAAAAACGCACTGAAAAGCATAAAAAATGCCGGAATGCATCACGAAACGTATCTGGACTGAGTTTCTATAGTGTGAACCTGCCTTTAAACAAAATATAAAATGCATATATTTTTGCAGGAAAAAACAAAACAAAAAAAAAAAAAGACAAAGTATTGCACCCACAATCCATGGATCATTGGTGTAGTAAGGCTCCTGAAGACATGTCCTCCAGCTTTCTTTTTTCCCATTCCTCTGTATCGGCTTTCGGTTAGAAAAATTAAGGTGTCAATGGACTATGAGTGCCGATTAGTGCAATTAGTCCCACTAAACTACAAGTCAGTCTGCCACATAGGCAGATGGCACTGGTAATTTATTTATTCGCAGATTGCTAACCGATTTTAACTGAGGGCAGTTGCAGGAAATACTGAAACATGTTACACCCCAAATAAAGGTGCAATGGATAAGTTCACCTTTTTAAAAAACAAAATCATAAAATGTACATTTCTTTGCAAGGGAAAAAATGTGCAGTTGTTCGTTTTTGTTTCTGAAGCCTCTAAAGCATTGCACCAGTGATCAGCTCACTGGTACCATGAAGGACCCCTGCAGACCTGTCAGTATATCTGTTTGTTCATATGGGTCTGTGCAGAAAAATAAGCAGAATGTTCTACTTTTTCTTTGCATTGGAAACTGACTGCACTAGTGTGAACCAGGGCTATTGGAATACATGGAAAACACTGTGCATGCATTTTTGATGCAGGAAAAAAAAAAAAAAAAAAAAAAGCGCACTGAACTCCATCTAGGTGTTAACTAGCCCTAAGAGTCAAATGGCACCGAGTAAAAACAGACCAAATAAATAAATCTTAGTTGAAAACATGTTTAGAATGCAAGGGAATTTTAAATGGAATTCTCTGAGAGGCCACTGTGTAATTTTAGATAAAAAATGCAGACACTGGCACCTGTGGAATAACTACAAAGAAAAAAGGGTGCACTGGAATAGATGGCCACTCACATTCAGCTAGGATGGGTTGTGAAAGCATTATGTAATAATTGCAAAGAGTCACTTTAAGACTTCGTTTACAGTGTTCTTTTGAATGGGTACATTTCAAATGCTAGTCACTTCAGTTTTCAATTAAAGGCTTAGTACACCTTTTTTTAAAAATGCACTTTTGCATGAGGTTTGTTGGTGGGAGGGAAAAAAGGAGAGGGGGGGGGACTAATTAGAACATAGTTACCTAATTGAGATAAACTTGTTATGAGGGTCTCCCAATATAGCAGTTTTTCCTTACTAAGTGAACCATGAATCCTAGACTACCGCCTCAAAATGTATTGCTGAGCATTGAAATGCCCAAAACCTAAATTTGTTTAGAAGTGTTATAAGTGTTCAGCTATGATGAACCTCTTTTCAGAGATTAACCTGTAACAATGAATTCATCATGGTATATACATTGCCCATAAACACCATGCCTTCAAGAGCCAATCATTTTTAATTTAAAGAGCAACACAGCTTTTGTTGGAAAATCAAAACATAATCCTTTTTGTGTGATCATTGTACACTGTAACCTTTTGTACCAGATTCATATCACGTTGCCCTTAAATAGCAGTTTGTTTCACCATGTCCTTTGGTGATTTAGCCCTGGTTCACACCAGATGCGAATTCAAAGTGGTCCGATCAGGTCCTATTTAAAACGACTTCAAAATAGCACTGCTATAGATACAGGAACAATTTCAGTACCTTTTACCCTATAGTCACGCTACTTGAAATTGCACCTACTAAGACAGTGCCACATTAGAACATTAGATACGACTTCAGGTGCAATTTGTAAATTCCATGTCGCACCAAAAGTCACAGCAGTGTAAACCAGGGATTATTCTGAATGGGAGGGTCTAGTTTATTAAAATCAGCTACTGCACTCTGACTGTTCATCCCTTTAGAAACAACCCCTTAGGGTATCTAACAAAAAATGAAATTTCTGTTTCTGCCTAAACCTGCCTTGTATCTTAGTGTGCAGCCAATCACACAAGCAGGAAATTACATTTCTGGAGGTGTACAGTACACCTTTTAAATAAAGTTAGTGCTGCAGGTTAAAAAGGGAATATTAAAAAGCATTAAATTACAATATGGCTTGTGTAGCAATTGGAAAAGGTTTTTTTTCTTCCCACAAAACAGCCAATTTGTATAAAAAATAAAAAAAAGGGTCAGAAAATTGCTCAGCCAATGACCGTTTTTGGTATTCACATGATCACTCCAAATCAACAAGAAAGAACGTCAAGACTGGGTTCACACTGATGCGGTGTGGAATTTGCAGCTTTTTCTGTGCGAATTCCGCACCGCATCAGAATCGTACCCAGTTCATGTGAACTGCTGCAGGTGTGTACGTTAAGTTAACAACACCCCCGAAATCAGTCCGCCAACGCGGTGCGATGTGCAGAATCAGATCGCATGGGTGTGAATATCCATGTGATAAGATTCTAAAGCAGACCAAAAAAAGGGTACTGCACCTTTTTAGTGCGGGTGTGGTACGATTTTGAGCCATACAAAATGTATGTCTCCAATTGCACCACCCACAAATCGCATGTGATTTGCACAGGAATGTGTTCTGCTTCTTGTGCAAATCACATGCGATATACCGCACCACATATATGTGAACCCAGGCTAAACCCCATGGATTTAAAACAAATTAGATCTGTGATGGGCTGTGGCTGAAAATTAGTTGTGGATATGTTTGTAATGATCTCCACTTCACAGCGTAGTAAAGAAGCATAGTTTGTTCAAGAATTAAATCAGTGGAACGCTATACAGCATACTTTATTTAGGTTTCAAACTATATACTGACAGAATCTATTACAAAACTTTTCAGCAATGTGTCAATGTTATCACAGCGCATTCATTTATATGGGATGAAACAAATGTATACTCCTTCCAACAACACTCCACCCCCTGAAAACTGAGAATCAATTAAAATCATGTAAATGACAGCACAGACACATACAGGGGACTAGAAAATGTGCAAAGCAGAGGAAATAACAGGGCTGTAAGGTGAAGAGAACCCAACACTACTTCTTCATTTTTCTCTATCGAAAAGAAAATCTAATGCAGATCTGCACTTTTAGTCACAAATAACAGTGAGCACTCCAGGTACTACCGATGCAGTTTTAGGTCTGTAACATGTCCAATATTATGTATGCATTAGCCTGCACCGATCTGAGACATTTTATTCATTTATTAGATATACAGCAAAACCCTCTTATACCAAAACTTCTATCACATATCCCCAAAACAATAGAAGCTGGTGCAGCCATGCAAATCATTCCTTTTTCTCCCTACAGAGTTCATTAGTGCAGGGCTTGACACATTTGCTTTGGATGTAGGAGCCATCTAAAAAAGTTAGGAGCCAGTTTTTTTTTTTTTTAAAGAAAAAAATGAAAAGAGACACTGGGACACTGCTTTACTGGTTCAGGGATTTGAATCCCTGTGGCTCTCACCTCTCCTCCCAGCACTGACAGGACGGGCTAGATGAATTCTGATTGGCAAGTGCTGTCCATGTGACTGTGCGGACCAACTAGAATACCTCTTGTGCGTACCCCAAGAGGTATGGATAGGAGATTAAGCCGCAGAGATTTCAAATCCCTGGATCAGTGAAGCAGTGTCCCAGTGTGTCAGCAGATGGCTGACAAAAGCCCAGAGGCCAGGATGCAATTTCTAGGTGCCATGGAGACCTGGGATTTGTCTAGCCCTGCAGCAAAGCGCCACACACACGATCAGTACAGTACAGGGGCCCCCATATGATCAGTACAGTACAAGAGCCCCTGCATATGAACAG